CGCAATCGCCAGCTTCTGCTTGTACTGATTTACCCGGATCACACCCGACTTCTCGGGAAACTCAGGCAGACAGATGCTCTCTGCCAGGACCACGTAGAACTTCCGCCCATCCACGTCCAGGTCTCGCCGCTGCCGGATGTAGACATACTGCACTGCCAGTCAAGGCTTGGCATCACCAGCAGCACTGCCCAGGGGGAACCTCGAAAGCAGGGGGCCAAGGGAAAAAGGTCTGCGCTTCCCAAGTGGCAGCTGCTCCCTTTGGTTGGTACTTCATTTAATGCCGTGCCTCCCCGTCTGCACTCTGAGGCGGTGTCTCATATACCTAGGCTTCTCATCACCTACCTGGAGGAGATTCACTGATGCTTTGAATCATGCAAGGAAGCAATTCCTCCTTTCTCCCAAAGGCACTTGGAGAGGACAAGGGATTGCTCACTGGTCAGCTGTGACCTTGGGCAAGTCCTTCACCTCCCTGAGACTCAGTGTCTGTAGGTAAGAAAAGGGAGTAATACGCTCTCCATAGCCTTGGTGGGGGCTGGAGAGAAAGACTGGGGCAGAAGCACCGAGAGATAGTGTTGTCATTCTGCTTTCTCTTGTCCTCGCCCAAGTGCTGATGGCACATCTGAATGCAGAGATGTCAGCAGTGCTGCAACCAGGAGCAGCAGTAATGCTGGGAATATTAACTAGGCAGATGTCCTCTCTCGTTCAGCAGTGGTTTACTGTGCACAACAAAGCCATTTCCTCCCCATACACATCCACAGAACAACCACTAGATCTGTGCCTCTATTGGAGGGAAGCTAATCACACCCTAAGAAACAAGAGTCACTCCTTACCGAGCCTTTACTGTGTAACAAACACCACATGCCTATGCAATGTAATAAAAAAATTTACGTTAATTAAATTTATTAAATATACATTTACATTTAAACAAAAATTGAAAAAATTATTACAGTATAAGACACATTGCGGTTAATCCCCCTCAGAATACTCCCCTTGTTTCAGACACACTTATCTCACAGTTTACCCCTTTCAGCAGCAACTCTGGGATTCCTCTTTCGTGCGTGTCTTTAGTGGTGCTGACTCCGCAGCTTCAGGGTGTTGCACTGATTCAAATCCTCTACCTCTCATGCTCATTTTGACTCCGAGGAAGATCCAGAAATCACATGGTACCAGATCCACTGCGTAAGGCAGATGGGCACACACCACTATGTTTTTATTTGACAGAAATTTCTATAGAAACTTCAAATTGATTGAGGACATCGAGACAGCTGCAACAGTAATGGCAATGTGTCTTTTACTGTAATGATTTTTTAAATTTTTATTTAAACATTGACCATATTTTTGAATACCATGTAGCATCCATTTTCATCTTACAAAATCAGTACTGCAAAATCAGCCCCTCACCCCAGGCCCTGCACGGAGAGAGTAACACAGAGATCGAGGGCAGGAGGTCTGAGGGTCAGTGCACTTTGCAGAAAGGATACGTCTCTGTTGGACATAGGAAAGGGGTACTTCACTTCCCAGTATGTCACAGTCTCTCCGTTGCATTCTTTTTCACAGATTTCTAAAGGGGAACAAAAGTTAGTACATCTAGCAATGTCTTTGGCTCCAAGTAGCAAGAGCCTGAGGCAGGATGACCTCGTAGCGTATGCTGAACCACCAACTAGTGAGAATTCTTATACAAAATTGAGCAGATTGATTTTCACTGGAAGTGTGTTGCCCAGGAAAATAGCAAAACACCATAAAAATAAAAGATCCTGGTTTTTTGTTTGTTTGTTTGTTTGTTTGTTTTATAGTGTTTTGCTTTTTTCTTGGGCAATGCATTTCCACTGAGAATTAATCTGCTCAATTTTGATCCTGAAAAATAAAAAAAATGAAATAAAATAAAATATAAAAGATTCTGGCAACTTGTCTACTGTACAGTGCAAACAGCATTCTGGGATGGAAAGCAATGCAACAAAATCAAGTACCAGAAAATAAGCAGAGAGGTTTGAATCAGGGGAACCACCAGGTGTCACTAGAGGACCAAAAGCTTTGCTTTGAGGACCTTTTCTTTCAACACTTCTTGCTCAGCTGAGGACTGAGGGGGTTGCCCAGTCCAGCAGGTTCGGGTGGGAAGGCAAGGGTCCCCAAGGGCAGTGTCCCTGTGTAGCTGCGAAGGGGCTAGGTTTCTTCTTGCTTCTCTGCCATGTTTCTGTCCTCACACGATGCCCCGGCTATGGTGACCAAATGTCCTGAGCAAACACTCCCTCATACTACTGTGTGCAAGCAATGGTCCATGCTTGGAGGGAGACAGCAAAGGGACAAAAGGATAGAGTGGCCATAGGTTCTCCAGCAAAAGAAGGAGCCCTCCAGCAGTGGAAAAAAAAAAAATCAAGCCCCCCAAATTCAAAGACCCAATCTAAAAATGGGCATCTGAGATGAATACACACTTCTCAGATGAAGAAATACAAATGGTAAAAAAAACACATGAAAAAATGTTCAACATCATTGACCATTCAAGAAATGCACATTAAAACAACACTGAGATTCCATTTTACCCCAGAAAGAATGGTTATCATCAAGAAATCAACCCGTACAAATGCTGGAGGGGCTGTGGGGAGAAAGAACCCTTCTCCACTGTTGGAGGGCTCCTAGTGTAAGAACCTGAAAGGGTAAGTAAGATACAAAGGTACAGTATAGTGAAAGAGAAAGAAATTGCTCAAAAGGAAAGAACAACTGAGATAGGGACAACAGAAAAGAAGGAAGGGGCAAAAAAGATTATATATATATATACATACACACACACACACACACACACACACACACATAAGATAGCTAAGATAACTGTACTACTAATTTCCATTAGTTCATTGAAAGGAACTGCTAGTGCTCATATTGTTCAAACAATTTTGCATCCCTACGTCCGATAATCCAAGAACAATATGCAAGATAACAATAGGCAATATAACAACCATAGTTAATTTCCTATCATCTTGTTTTAAAATTCGGTATCATTTTTATTGGTTTATTTTCCCTCTTTAAAAACATAAAACCATTGACTATATGATGTTTAAAAAAAAAAAGAAGGATCCCCGCTGACTTGACCACGGAGGCCCGAGGAAATGCTGTGGGGGCTGAATGTGGCTTTGTACAGAAAATCAGAAGCAGACCATGGGTGACGCCTTGCCAGAGCCTTCCAGCCACACCAGGCTGGAGAAAGGAAAGGAAGGATGGACCGAGGTTGCTTTTGCACACTGAGTGTCAATTCTCCCTTCCGGCACCAGCACAGGCCCCTCAACTGTCCCCCAGGGCGTCTCCTGTTCCCCCTTCCACCCACTTCTCCACTCTGGTTTAATCAGGGCTGAGACTGCCATAATTTCAGGGTGATGGTGGGGGACGCTGGAGCTGGTTGAAGTGTGACTTGCCAGTCTAGCAAGTCTAGGTGTGGAGCAACAAGGTTCCCGGATGTGAGATGTAGAAGCGCAGGGCTGTTCCTGCAAAGCCAGCTGCATTCCTAATGGTCCAGACACCACTGCCTCAGCTGTCATGGAAGAAAAAAGGCGTTGCGTGCTGCCTGCTTCCGCACACGGCTCTGCTCCAAACTGAAGCCATGTGTGCCTCACTGGTAGAGTCTATGTCATCTGACAGCACTGTGGCTGCTGGGCAGATGGGGACAGAGAATCGGCCGGCTTCCTTGCACAAACGAGCATCAGTGTGTCCCCTAAGTAGGAAAGGTATTTGAAAACAAGTTGCTCGGAGCCATGGCAAATGTCCACAAGCAATAAGCATGTGCTCGAACCAAGCTACCGAGAGCCAGTCCTGACACCGGCTGCCACGGTAAGGATTCTCTTTCCCCTGGGGTCATTTGGTTACAATATGAGCCTGGATCTTCTAGAAGACATTTTTTTTTTTGCCTCAACAAAACAATCTGAGAACTAGGTGAGCACAGGGGAAAACAGAGCCTAGAGATGGAGAAGGAAATATTCTGATGGAATTATTCATAAACAACTGACCTAGGAGCTGGAAAGCTCTGGACTTTCTGATAAACTCTTTCTTTTCTCTGTATTGGCTTTGGTTGGCTTTTCGTTGCATGCAGCCAAGCATTCTCACTAAAGACTCCGTCCTGTGCGGCTGGTTCTGCAGGTCAGCGCCACTGTGACTTAGCTGGCAGGGGCCTCTCCCAGCTCTCAGCGGCAGGGGGAGCCCCTGATTAATGCCCATCACAAGGCTGCATTGCTTACAGGGTAAAGTCTAAGATCTGCAGCCAGCACCACGCTAGGCCCTCGGGGATCTGGCCCCTCCCTCCTTGTGCTCCAGGTTCCCAGAGCAGCACCGTGCCTCAAAGCAGTGAAAGAGCTGGGGCTGATTCTGCTCGTCCAGCCAACCCAGCAGCACCAAAATGCTGGTGCTGTGTGGATACACTGCTTCCTGCTGTCCTGACCTCGCCCCTGCTGCTCTTCCCTTCACCTAGGATACCGTCACACTATTCAGCCCTCGCTCTCCACCGCCTCATGTATGTGCACTCTTGCCTGTTTAGAAAACTTAGATTCAACTCTCAAAGCCTGGATGCCACCTCTTCCATGGCGCCTTCCATGACCACCCTGCCACACATGGGGTGAGAACACGGCTTCACGGCAGAGCACAGCAGCCCCAGGAGCAAGCGCAGAGGGGAATCTAAAAGCACATCAGGAGCAAGGGCCAGGAGCAGCTAAGCTGTATTTCAGACCCACATCCGAAATACTTTTGTGCCACAATTCAAAAGGAAGTACAACATAGCAGAAATGAAGTCTGTTCCTTTCTAATGGCTAGAATCAATAGGAATAGGCTCTAATTTCTAATTTTTCATTAACGGAGTAGGCGTTACTCACCTTTAACGTACTGGTCCCACTGTTTTCTGTAGTCTAAATCCATATAGACATCCATGAGCAGAGCTGGTAGGCAGTCCTTTAAAATACCGAAGACTTTATACTCATAAAGTCCAGTCTGCTGTAAAACAGAACAGACAGAAACATAATCTATTGGTACCAAGGTTGCAAGAAAGCTGGATTCCACATCAAAAGAGAAACAGCTGAGGATGGGGCCCACGCCACACCAAATATCAACCTAGTCTGGGTTCTTAGCGACACAGCAGTGTCAAAGCAGGTAAGAACTCTGGTCTCTAGAAGGGTTATGTGGTAAATGATGCCTTGGTGGGGGTTTTATATCATCAGATGGGCAGGAAAGGCCTCTGTGAAGGTTAACATGTACCAGGATGTCTTGCTCTAAATGCAAGGAGGTTGTCTTGGGAAGGCAAGGAAAGCTCACTCCTGGAAGAAGGAAGGCTCTCTGATTGCAGGCCTGGCACACATATGGAGCTCAGGGCTGTGGGACTCTGGATGGGAAAGACAGCGATAGGTGGCAGAGTTGCATAGGTTTGGGCACCAGACCCCCACAGGACTTTGTAAACCAGGATAGGGGTAAAGATTCTAATCTCATTGCTATGGACAACTAATGAATAGCCTTAGACAAGGGAACCACCACATCGGATTAGGCATACAGTTTATGCTTGGTAGAATACAGATCACAGGGAAACAAGAAGGAACCTTAAAAGACTGACTCAAGGAAGAAGATAATGACCGTGATGGGGAAACATCAGAAATTTGGGGATGGAGCTTGGAAGCAAGGCCAATAGGAATTGCTGACAGACTAGCTGTGGGGCAAAGGGAAGCAAAGAATCAGGGGTAACTGAGAAGCTGGACATCCAGGTAGGTGGGAAACCCCTTCTCAAACAGCGGAAACTTGCAGAAGAGGTAATTTATGGGCTGTGGGGGGTAATCAAGAATTATATTCTGGGCAAGAAGTTTGAGATGCTTTTTAGACAACCTGTGTAGGTGGCTAGAGTTCTAGTGAGGGCTTGGATTTCAAATACCTATAGGGCAGAGTGAAACCCAACACCTTTTTATTTTTTATCAATTCCAAGTTAGAGAATGTTCCAACAAAGACTTCGCTTTGATTGCATATAAAAGAACAAAAGGGGAAAGAACATCTGCGTCAAATAACATGGGCTTCCACCGTTCAGAAGAAGCTCACTTGGATTCCAAGTGAAGAGAGGACGGCTGTTTTCACGTGAAGTCCCAACCTTGTCTGTGAGGGCTCAGGATTCTATGTATTTCGCCCTCTGTACAGTGGTAGTGCAAAGCAATGGTTCTGAGATTAAATGTAAAGAAAGAGAAGTAAGCAAATGCATAAAAACAAAGCTCTTAGAGGCAGTCTTGCTTCCAATGCCAATGCCATTCAAGAATTAAGCCTGCTCCTTAAAACCATGACAGGGACTCACATGAAGTCAAGGGACAGACATGCTGAATCTTTCAGAGATGCTCTAGCTTTAAGGGCCCCCAACTCAGCTCCTATAATCTAGGACTAACCATGTCCCAATTTAGGAATCTCCAATGTGTATGAAAGTACTTAGCAAGAAACGCAAAATAAAATTGAATCCTTAAGGGTCTTGCAAGTGTAAAAACATGTGGTTTATGCCATGGGTTTCCAAAGAGCAAATGACAACCTAGTATTTGTGGAGCCCTCGTGTGCCACGCCATGTGTACCTGAAAGAAGGGCTGACTTTGGGGTATAATGAAAGACCCCACGGGAAATATTCCTCCCCTCTGCCCACTGTGGTCACAAAAATATATTAAGGGAACAGGCTGCAGGTAACATACATGCACGTGCTCACAGTCATACACATATGCTTTAATGCACAGGCTTTGGAGGAGAAAGTTACCCTGTTGCCCCACAAATAAGACCTAACCAGAAAATAATCAGCCTCGGAAACCAGAGATGAGGAGCGCCAGCCCCAACCAGCCTATCCTAGCTTTACCTGCTTTACAGAGTAGCCACAGAGCAAGAAAATAGAGATGGCAGGTGAGGCAAGGATAGGCTGACTGGGGCTGGTATTTTTGATCTCTGGTTTTCAAAGCTATTTTCCAGGTAGGTCTTATTTTGGACCTTGAAAAATATGAAGGCCTCGCTTTCACCCTGAACAGAAGGGTTACTTATGTGCTCAGACTGTGATCTCCCCCGGCCCACAAGACTTGGCTCTGGGTATCTACATAAATGAAGACAAACTGCTGCCTTATCTGAGGACCATTCCCTTCCTATATGTAGCTACAGCCTTCATGACCTGAGCCCCATCCATATCACAGAGAAAAGAAACAGAAACCCTTAGAAAAGAAGAGAAAAATAGAATCACTGCGATTTGCGTGAATGCAGAAGAATGAACCATTGTGACCACTTCCTTTAAGCATTCCCTTGATGGCAGGACTGAGAAAAGCCAGAACTCCAGAGAGCGAAATGTCCGGTAACACCTTTCCTCCTCCATTCACACGACATTCTTCTCCACCGTGGAACAGCCCGGCCCAAAGCCCTGGGTCAAATCACCTTGTCACTCACAATTGCTTTCTAAATGCTCTCAGTAAACATGCTTAGTTTTATTTCATGTTTTAAGGAATAAAATAAAGTTTTTATACTTATAAAGATTATCTACATTCACTATAGGAAAATTTGACAATGTTAGAAGGAATTCATAATGCCATGTAACCCTGTAATCTACAAATATCTGCTGATGATATCTGACATACAATATTTCTTGAAAGTGAACACATATTTCTCTTTGTGACCCAATGGAAATGATAGGATATAAACAGATTGCATTTTTATTTGTAACATAATAGTATCTTGAGACTATGGAGAGTTCACCTAAAACATAACTGTTCTACAAAGATACTTCTTTTTCCAGAAATTTTTGTGTAAAGAAGTATTTCTAGAAAAATCATGCTCCTATAGAACAGCCAACTCACAATTCTAAATTATTTCATTAGGGAAAGTTTCTTTGGAGATGAGTTTGAGGATAAATATACTACTGTTTTATTAAGGCTGTTTATATTTTTATATACCAAGTGTGTACTCTCATCAGTAGCAAAGGACCATGTCACCAGATGCTAGTGACAATACAGGACCAGGTTCGGGAATGTGCCCCAAAAGATGAATGTGTTTGGGGACTTGGCTTTTGGAAGGTGATTGATAATGGAGGGCACTATGCTCACCTATGGATTAATCCACTGAGGAATCCGCAGCTAAAGGTGCTGTTGGGAGTTCAGCCTAGTCAGAAGAAGTGAGTCACTGGGGTGTGGGGGTAACCACCTAGAAGGATCTGTCTCTCTCCCTTGCTCTTCCCTTCTCTCTCTGTTTCCTGTTCACCATGACCTGAGCAGATTTCCTCTGCCAGACCCTTCCACTATGCCATTTCTGCCTTGGAGCCAGCTGACCATGCACTGATACCTCAAAAACTGTGAACCCAAATAAACCCCTCTCCCTTTAGACTGTAGGTGTTGGGTATTTTGTCTCAGTGACAGGAACGTGACTAAGATGGTTACAACTGTTTATATGAACAATTTGGTATGTAAAAGCATAATTCTTAGCTTTCCTTGGGCAAAGTCTATATCACTCGTACGTAACAGTTCTTTAAAATTAGAGATATAAATCCTTTGCAATATTCATTTTAGATCCTTTCCCAAGGTTACTACTCTCAGTAAACATGCTCAGTTTTATTCACATTTTAAGGAATAAAGTAAAGTTTTTATACTTATAAAGATTATCTACATTCACTATAAGGAAATTTGAAAATGTTAGAAGGAATTCATAATGCCATGTAACCCTGTAATCTACAAATATCTGCTGATGATAGCTGACATACAGTATTTCTTGAAAGTGAACACATATTTCTCTTTGTGACCCAATGGAAATGATAGGATATAAACAGATTGCATTCTTATTTATAACATAATAGTATTTTGAGACTATGGAGAGTTCACCTAAAACGTAACTGTTCTACAAAGACACTTCTTTTTCCAGAAATTTTTGTGTAAAGAAATATTTCTAGAAAAATCATGTTCCTATAGAACAGCCAACTCACAATTCTAAATTATTTCAAGGTTACTTCAATATATGACTCCAAATAAGTTTATTCACAGCACTCTTTGCCTTTCCTAAATGTCCCCTAGATACTATCTTTAAGCATGGCTCCATTCCCTTATCTAGAAGCAAAGCATGCTGGGTATTTTCCAATACTCCACTTATAACACACCTAACTTCCTACCATTCAAATAGTAAAAAGCTTATGCTGGTGGTAAAAAGAAATGAATCAATATTATATGTAGAATACAATTACCAGAAGAAACAGAAAATTCAGTATAGTATACACTCTCTTTCTTCCCTACAAAGGGAATTCCTCTGTCACTGTGCAGAGCTAATAACTTTCCTGATCTCGCATGCAAGTAGTGGTAGCCATGTGATGCTTTCTTCCTGCTTTGAATGTGGATATCATGTTTGTATCTATAGCAACTATTATGTGACCAAGAGGCAACAGACATAAAACAGCAGAGTAGAAAGACTAGAAGAGTTGCTGCTGTCACCAATCAGCTAAACCAATACCTGCACATGTAAACCTCTGAACTACTTGTTAAGAGAGAAAACTAAACCTCTCTTTAAGTTGTTGTTAGTCCAGTTTTTCACTCCTAAGATAGTCAGAGGCCACTGTAAGGACAAAGGGAAAACAAATTCCTGGGCTCATAACCTGTTACTTACTAGAGGCATTGTGTTTTCTCAGGAACTTGAAAGCTTTTGCTGAACACACACACACACACACACACACACACACACACCGTGACTTTTCATGTGGGCCTAAAGTTGTCCAGTCGGTTTCTTAATGCAGAATGAAGTTTGACCTTCATTTTGTACCTGTTTCTTCCTTTACTTTAAAATGTTGGGTCAGAACCCTGCTCAGCTCTGCATATTGTATGAGAATCATTTAGGAAGCATCCTTTGGAACACTGGCTGTGCCCAGTACTGGGCTGATTATGCATTGGTTTATATAACCTAATCTCATCCCTCTTCAAGACTGAGGACACCAGGAAAGCAGAATTACAGGACATTCCACTACCAAGGAACACCCA